CCAGAATGTTTTTTTATTTCTTCTTTGATCTCTTTGGTAATGCACTCATTGTTTAATAGTATGCTATTCAGCCTCCAAATGTTTGAATTTTTTCGATTGTTTTTACTGGAGTTGATTTCAAATTTTATGCCATTGTGATCTGAGAAGATGCTTGATATGATTTCAATCCTCCTGAATTTGGTGAGACTTTGACTGTGTCCTAATATGTGGTCTATCTTTGAAAATGCCCAATGCACACTCAAGAAGAATGTATATTCTGTAGTTTTGTGGTGGAATATTCTTAAGCTGTTGATTAAGTCCATCTGATCTAGTGAGTCGTTTAGGATTGATGTTTCTTTGCTAAATTTTGTCTGAGAATTTATCCAGTAATGTTGATGAGGCATTAAAATCTCCTACTATCATTGTGTTTCTGTTAATCTCACCCCTGATATCTTCTAGAAGTTGTTTTTTTATGTATACAGGTGCTCTTGCATTGGGGACATATATGTTTACCAGAGTTATATCCTCTTTTTGTATTGATCCCTTTAGAATTATGAAGTGGCCTTTCTTGTTTCTTGTTATGGTCTTCACTTTAAAGTCTATTTTGTCAGTTATAAGTATTGCTACCCCAGCTTTTTTTTATTTCCATTTGCTTGATAGATATTTTTTCTATCCCTTCACTTTCATTCTGTGTGTGTCCCTTGTTCTGAGGTGGGTCTCCTGTAGACAGCATATATATGGGTCATGTTTTCTTATCCATTCAGTCACTCAATTTCTTTTGATTGGAGCATTTAATCAATTTATGTTTAATGTAATTATTAATAGGTACTTGTTTATAGCCATTTCTGTGCTTTAAACCTTTGTTCCTTCCTCCCCTTCTATTTCTTCTTTTTGCAGCCTTCCCATTAGCATTTCTTGCATTGCTGGCTTGGTAGTGATAAATTCCCTGAGGCTTTTTTTTTGTCTGTGAAGCTCCTGATTTCCCCTTCAATTTTGATTGATGGTTTTGCTGGATAGAGTATTCTTGGATTCAGTCCTTTGCTTTACATCACTTTGTATACTTCCTTCCATTCCCTTCTAGCTTGGTGTGTTTCTGTTGAGAAATCATTTGATAATCTAAGGGGGGATCCTTTGTAGGTAACTCTTTCTCTCTTGCAGCCTTTAAGATTCTCTCTTTGTCCTGAACATTTGCCATTGTAATTATGATGTGCCTTGGTGTAGTTCTTTTGGTATTCATCTTGCTTGGGTCTCTCTGTACTTGTGTGACTTTTTTCTTCCCCATATCAGGGAAGTTTTCTGTCATAATTTCTTCAAATAGATTCTCTAATCCTTGGTGCTCTTCTTTTCCTTCTGGCACCCCTATTATACGAATGTTACTTCATTTCATGTTGTCCCAAAGCTCCCTTAGGCTCTCCTCCTGCTTTTTAATATTTTTCTCCAGTTATTGTTCAAATTGGGCTTATTTCTCTACTTTATCTTTTAACTCACTAATTCAGTCCTCCGCTTCTTGTAGTCTACTGTTGAAACCTTCCATAGCATTTTTGATTGTATCTATATGATTTTTGATTTCTTCCTGATTCTTGTATAGATTGTTGATTTTCTCGTTCATCCGGTGTATGACTGTATGACTATTACTCTGAATTCTTTTTCTGTCGTACTGCATGCCTCTGTTTCACTTATTTACTTTCTTGGCGATTCCTCTTTTTCTTTCCTCTGGAGATTGTTTCATTGTCTCCCCATTCTAACTATCACCAGAAGGTCCAAATGCCAAGTTGCAGGGGCCTGACCATGTGCAATGGGAGTGTCATGCCATGTGAGTGTCACTGAAGAGCTCCAAGGCATGTAGCACCAAGACATGTGGCTGCCATGGGTTGGTGGGAGCCACGCACACCAAAAATAAGAGTCACCAGCACTCAGTGCGGCCTCATTTGCGCACCTAGAATCAGGGACCCCACATGTGCCGCGCTGAAAAAAAAGACCCTGTTGGTGTGCACCAAAAATCAGAGTCCCCTAGCGCACGCCAGGTGTCAGAGTCCCTGTATGCATGCACTGAGAATCGAGTATAGGAGTCTCTGTCACTTGGTGTGGCCTCACATCAAGAATCAGGGTCCCTGTGTGCATGTGTGCCAAGAATTGGAGTCACCAAGAATTGGATTCTCAGTGTGCGTGCACTGAGAATCAGGAATCACGTGTGCATACTATGAGAAACAGAGTCCCCGTGCACACGTGCTGAGAGTCAAGTCACAGGTGCTCAGTGCTGCCTCTCACATGGAGAATCATGGTCCCTGGTCTGCTT